CTGCTTTTTTCTTCTCTCCTCCCAGATTTTCTTTGTGATTTTCGTTATATCTTCTGACAAGGATTCTGTCGCTATCCCTACGTGTGGCTGGACCTCCACTTCAAGCATCGACAAAGAAATATTCTTTCTTTCCTTCCTGTTCCCTATTATCGACATTTTCTCTCGATATGGATCTCTTTACGCCAGTTGCAGATAAGAACTTCTCATATCAAATTTTCTCAAATTACCTCGACACCAAATAGCATGCAGTTACTCATACCCGATGCCTCTGACTCGACCTTGGCTTGCTGATCGTATGATAATGTTCTGGCCGTTCCTCGCAAGGAATGAGTATTAGTTATTCGTGCATCTTAAGGGGGTGCTTGTTCCCACCCAGTAATAACTTCTCTTTCTACATCCCTTTTTCTATTGTCTATAACACGTCTAAAACTTTGTAAATACCCTTGACGCCCCAGTAGGGTACCATCACTTTCTCTCCATCACTCTCTCCCTCCTTAGGATTCGATCCTCTCTCCATTCCTCTGTCCCTTTTTGGATTCGATCCTCCCCCCCCCTCACTCTCTCCTCCTTCGGATTCGATCCTATGTCTTTCTCTCTCTCCACCCCTTTCTCTGTCCTACGGATTCGATCATCTCTTCCTCTCTTTCTATTATTTTCAATACTTTTTAAAATGAAGAGGATGGGTATGGCAATCCGCTCTGATTTGATATAACCCAGATTTCTTCCTAAATCATGATTCAAGAAATGCTATTGATTTTAAAGATGAAATTGGGGATAATGATATTGGTAATACTGTGATAATATTGATAATGATAACATAGTGAATGATTGTAACGAGAATACCGTTGATACAACCATCACTAATGACATACCTTATTATCACATGTACCACTGCTAACGGTGATCAGAATACTGAAAATAACAGTAAAGAGAACGATAATATATGAAGCAGAACCCAGATCGCTTAGAGACAAACGAAACATTGAAAGACAAGGATCAGATAAAAAAAAAGACAAAATTAAAGGAAAAGAAAAGAATATACCGAGAAAGAGGGAAAAAGTAAGCATCATTACTGGTATTATTATATCATTATTATTATTATTTTATTATTATTTCTCATTATGAACATGATTAAAATGTATACCAATACTACTACTACTATTATTATTAATGCTATCACTATTTTCATTATTACAATTATAATTGTTATTGTCATTTTTCTAATTACTATCATTACTACTTTTATCATCATTATAATTAATATCATTATCATTATCACTTGCATTATTATTAGCATTATCATTAACATCATTATTGTTATCATCCTCATTATCATTGTTATTATTACTATTATTGTTATTGTTATTATCATTATCATTATCATCACCATTATCATTAATATTATCATTGTTCTTGTCATCATTATTGCTATTATTTTTATTATCGTTACTATTAAAATCACCATTATTATCATCATTATCTTTACTATCATTATTATCATGATGATCATTATCATTATCTACAATAATAGTAGTGATGTTAGTATTAATATCATTATCATTATCATAAACATCACCATTATCATTGGGATTGGGATCATCATTGTTACAATCACTATTATCGTGATTATTCTAAACACTGCTCTATGTATATTCATGATTCTTTTCATTGCTATTGTTTTTATCATTATTACCATCGGTATCATTATTTCATCATAATCAATTATATTTTTTGATATTTCCAGGACTATCATTTTCATCCATATGACAACCATTAAGACACTTGTCATTGGTAATGCAGTCATCATCACAAACTTCTGTTTATGCTGTACTATTTCTCTTTCTTAATATCCCTTACTTAATATCAATTCCATTATATCATTATGTTTATTGTATTTTCTTCTCTTCATTGTTATTCATTATTATATTTGGTAAACCTTTGAATTAAGCTGTTATCATCACTTTTACTTGGATCATTTACTTACTATTTTAAAGCAGCTTTCTCCCTGTTATCATTAAAGTCATCTGTCATGTAACATCAACTGTTCAGTCAGAACAGTGACGTCACAGGTTCCGTCCTGGTGGTGAGTATATAAATGGCTGTTTCCCTTTTCCGAGCATCACAGTTCAGTCAACACTTCTGCGACCAACATGTGTGCGAAAGTGAGTAGCTCTCGAAGGATATACGTCTCGAAGGTCTCTCTCTCACTAGTCCAGAAGATTTAGTCGTTTGTTCCAGCAATGTTTTGGTATTACTCTGCTATTTCATTCTATTAACAGAATTGAAGAGTCTTTCCTTTTGATGTGCCAGCTTTCCTCGTCGAAATTGTGATGTTCGTCATGTGATTTAATATTAGCTCGGAATTACCTGTTCCTCCTGCAGCTGATCCTCCTGGTGGGCGCCCTCGCGGCTCTGGCCTCCGCCGTCCCCCGTCCCGACCTCCTCCCCGTCTACCACGCTCCTCACCCGACCTACAAGCAGCCAGGAATGCCCTTCGACTTCAGCTACGCCGTCAGGGACCCCTACTCGGGCAACGACTACGCCCACGCCCAGACCAGCGACGGTCACGTCACCTCCGGATCCTACAGCGTGGCTCTTCCCGACGGCCGAACCGAGATCGTCGAATTCACCGCCGATCACGACAACGGCTACGTCGCCAACGTCGCCTACGAGGGAGAGGCCTCGTACCCGCCCCCCGCCCCTACCATCCCCCTCCCCTACCACGCCCGCCCCCCTCCCTACCTCCTCCCACCCCACCACATGTATAAGACCCATCCCCTCAGCACAGAGGCGGCTCTGCCAAAGCTTTTTGCTCAACACATATCCAACGCCAAAGGAAGGAGTTTCCAAGCTCAAGCCAACGTCGAAGCTCTCACAAAAGTCACGAGGCAAGCAAAGGTGCTTCCAAACAGACTTGCCTCATTGCCTCCAGCGGGAAGTCCTTGCAGTGCTCGCCGACTCCTTCGCTCACTCGTCCTGTTCATGTTTTCACGGGTGAGGCAGTCGACGAAGTAGGGTTTCAGTTATATTTTACTCTTGAAAATAAAAGTAAATCCTTAAAAAAAAAATTCTTACTAAAACCGAACCAAATGAATATTTCTAATCACATATAATATATATTCACATTTCTCAGTCTGTTGTTATTTCTGTTCATCTCTTGTGACAAGGCTCTTTCCACTGATCTTAAAGTATAGTTGGATGTCCACCTCAAGTATCAACAAAATCATCTCTTCTTGTCTTATCTCGGCGTCAATTGCATATAGACAGCAACCCACATTTTTCTTTCATTTGTTATTTCTTCGACACAAAGTGAGACTCCATCCTGGCTTGCTGATTGTGCGAGCGACCGGCCTAAGATGTCCTGGTTATTAATAGTTTTTGCGCCGATCAGTTTGGTGATGAAACGGAGGCACTGAATCTGCCCCGTTTTCATTTCCAAAAACGATTAAAAATCCACTGATAGCTGTCTCTCTCTTTCTCTTGGCCTCTCTCTCTCTCTTTTTTTCTCTCCCTCCCTTTCTCTCTCTCCCTCTTGTTATTTCTTTCTTTTTCTCTCTCTATCTCTTCCCCTTTCGCTCTCCCCCCACCCTCCCTCTTTCTGCCTCTGGCTACTGATTCCGCGACGACTGTGAGGGAAGCGAAGAAGGATGAAGACGGAAAACCTCGAGAAGGAAGTTGCCGCCGACCCTCGGCAGGCGGTAACTAGGCAGTCGCTTCTCACAACGCAGCGGAGGCGAGTCGCTTGTCGCAGACGATCACTGGCAACGGAATCAGAACCAAATGCTTCTTCAAATGCTTCTTGAAAATACCGTGTTCTTCTTTTTTCTTATTTTTTTCAGATCTTGTTTTTCAATCTCTCCATATTATACATTTCCGTTTTATTCCATTTCTTCTTTATTTAGCGGACACTGCCCCCGGGTCTCTTTCTTGACAGTCTCAGGGTTGATAGTGGCAATAGTGATGATAGTGATGAAGACGATGATAATAGGGGTGATAATGATAATAATAATTATAATTATCCTTATCATTATTATCACGATAATGATAATAACAATGTTGATGATAATAATGATAATGATAATTATAATGATGAAAATGGTACTAGTAATAATAATAACAGTAATGATAATGATGATAATGATGATGATAGTAATAATAATAATGATAATGATAGTAATAATAATAATATGCTTCTGATGATATAATGATAATAGTAATGATGATATGATGATAATGACAGCAATAAGGATAAAATATTAACTATAATAACAACAGAATAATGATAATGATATTAGTAAAAACAGCAATAATGATAGTAACGATGACGATAACAATAAAAAAATATATTATAATTACAAATAAAAACAGCAATATTAAATGATAACAGCACTAGTCAAGTCGAGAACGAGGGACGAATATCTATCAGCAGATGTATGAATAGACATCTTTCACTCCAGACAGAACAGTCTATGGGGTGGGGGTGGGGGGGAGAGTCAGCTATCCTTTTCCCTTTCCCTCCTTCCACGCTCCGCCCCTCCGCCACGCCCCCTGAAGAGAAATTAAGTTTACGTAGAACTTAAAAAACGTTGTTGCTTCGGGAGTTTTTATATTTCTATTAATGTTTTATATATATATATATATATATATATAATATATATATTATATATATATATATATATATATGATTATCATTATTTGGGTGGACCGGATGCACACACACACACACACACATATATATGCTTTTGTTTTAATAATTTGCAGGTAATTACAGATATCTAGTTTGCGAGTGTGGAGGCAATTAGTTAAAATAAATGATTAACATGTTAAGGAGTAAGGAAACTAGAATATATCAATTATTTACTATCCTATCTATTCTGTTCTATCTCCCTTCTCTCTCTTTCTCTGGCTTAGTCTCTCTCTCTCTCATATGTCTGTCTGTCTGTCTCTATTGTCTGGCTGTGTATGTCTGTCAGTCTCTCATTCTCTCTCTCTCTCTCACACACACACACTCTCTTTCTCCTCTCTCTCACACACTCTTTCTCCTCTCTTTCTCACTCTTTCTCCTCTCTCTCTCACTCTTTCTCCTCTCTCTCCCCCTCTCCCTCTCTCTCTCTCCCTCTCTCACTCGTTCTCCCCCTGTATTATTCAGTATTATTGATATTACTGTTACTACCATTACCAGCACAATAATTATCATTATCGTATTAATCGTGATCGATATCGCAATTACCATTTCTATCACTAAATTAATGAATGTCGGCAGGAATTATTTCTAATTCTATGGATGTTAATTACGGTCTTCAACATCATAACTTGTGTGTTGTTCGGTCTTTACGAATCGTCACCTTATCTTACAACTACTTTCACGTCACTGTCATATGTCATATGCCTTCACAGTATCCAGTGGTCGTAACAGTGACGTCACAGCTTCCATGGTGAGTATAAAAGGGGCTTCATCCTCCAGCCGAGCATCACAGCTCACTCAGCTCTTCTACAACCAACATGTCTGCAAAAGTGAGTAGCTTTCGATAAAACAGTTCTCTCGGGTTTTCGAGCTACTGAATATTTTTCTCTCTCCGTCCCTCCCCCTTTTCTCTTTCTCATTTTTCTCTACATCCATCTATCTCTCCCTCCCCCCCTCCTCACCATTCCTCTTTATCCCTTCTTTAGTTCCATTGCTTCATATTCTCCTACGCAATATTTTGCCTCTGAAATGTATTTTAGTCTGTCATTAACAAACTAAAAAAGACTGTCAGTGGTATAGCGGGACAAGATTAATTCATCACACTTGCTCCTTCAAGATTAATTTTTGTTGTTAGTTCCATGAGTTTTCTTCAGGCTTATGGGGATTTCTAGAATTTGAAGTGAACTTGTTCGGGATCCCTGCTTTCGTACGAATTCCTGGTCTTCGTGTGTGTGAATTTGATCTTGGAATTCCCTGTTCTCTTCTGCAGCTCGTCCTCCTGGCCGCCCTCGCGGCTCTGGCCTCCGCCGTCCCCCGTCCCGACTCTCCTCCCGTCTACCACGCTCCTCACCCGACCTACAAGCAGCCAGGAATGCCCTTCGACTTCAGCTACGCCGTCAGGGACCCCTACTCGGGCAACGACTACGCCCACGCCCAGACCAGCGACGGTCACGTCACCTCCGGATCCTACAGCGTGGCTCTTCCCGACGGCCGAACCGAGATCGTCGAATTCACCGCCGATCACGACAACGGCTACGTCGCCAACGTCGCCTACGAGGGTGAGGCCTCGTACCCGCCCCCGCCCCCTACCATCCCCCTCCTCCTACCACGCCCCCGCCCCCTCCTACCCTCCTCCCCTCCCCACCCACATCAGTAAAACCCACCCATCTCTGACTCACCGAAGTGGATCTTCCTTTAGCACCAAAGGAGACCAGAGGAGAGACATACTGCAATTTAAGTAACGCCATTAAAAGGCACACAAACATCACGGGGCAAGCCAAAGTCCCTGCCATCCTTCATCACTTCACCGTCCAGCCACTAGTTCCTCCTCCGTAAGACCACATTTTTCAACATACATTTTGAACGCACTTCTAACACCTGTATCAACATCCATTGCAGATCCGCCCATGTACTCAAAGAAGATTCGATCCCCTCTTCCTCTCTAGACAAAGGACCGATGTATAGTATCTGTACATCAAATTCAAATGAGTTTGACGCTGGAAGAGGATCCAATACTAGTTCGAGTGTGATCTTGGGCTACAGCATCGTATTCAATCGTATATGCCATCGTACTTCTATAAACTGTTAATTGTTGGACATTAGTGTTAAAAAAAAAAGAAGAAACACCGCCATTTGACCTTATACACTTATATATTTTGTTTTTATAAGTAAAATGAAACTGCGATGATATCTTTTGTCTTTTAACCTGACCATAATGTCCACTACAAATTTGTACTGCGTATACTTTTAAATGAAAGTAGCTCTGGTTTGCCAATATCAATAAAGTAATAGAAATAGAATAGTGATAATCAAACCAAGAAACACTAAAAAAAAAATAATGACGGTAACGTTAGTAATGCTGATGCTAATACTGATAACAGAATAATAACAATAGCATTAACATTAATGATAATAATAATGATAGTTGTAACAGCAATAATGATAATACTAGTTATAATAGTAATGCCAATAATTATCATAATAGGACTACTAGCACTAATAATAATAATAATAATAATAACATCGATGATAACGGCAACACCAACAAACATAATGCTATTGATGATAATGAAAATGATAATAATGACTATGATCATGATGATAATGATAAGGATAATAAAGATAACAATATTGATGATAATTTAAATGATAATGGTGAAAATAAATAAAATGTTAATGATAAAGGTAAAATAATGATAATGATAATGATAATGATATGATAATATGATAATCATAAGGATAATGATGATAATGATAATAATAATGGTAACGATAATAATAATGGTAATACTACTATTACTAATGATAATTATAGCGACGATAATGATAACAGTAAAAATGACATAAACATTAGCATTATCTTTTTAGTATTACGTCCGCCAAGGAAGTTATGTTTTTTGTTGCGTTGGTTAGTTGGTTATTTGGTTAGAAGGATAGCTCAAAAAGTTATGAACAGATTTTTAAAATTAATTCATTTATTTATTACTTATTTTATTAATTAATTTATTTATTTTACCATAGACGTCTTAGCCCAAATTACATGCCATTAAATGTTGGTGGTGATCCAGATCGTGATCGGATCCTGCACAGGACAAAAAAGTTATGAACAATTTTTTTTTCTTTGAATTGCATCAGGATCATGATTCGGATCCAGGAAGTTTTTTTTAAAGGATTCATTGGCACTGCGGGAAACACGGACGTCACCAGTGTGCTAGAGAAAGAGATGATTTTAAAGTAATTTATCGTGTGAATATATATATATATATATATATATATATATATATATATATATATATATATATATATATATATATATATATATCAGTGACCCTATTGCCTTGATAATACAAATACTAATAATACAAATGCTATTACTACTGATAATGATTTTTACTATTATCATTATTATTATCATAACCTCATTCTCATTTTATTTCCACTAGCATTATTATCATTATCATTGTCATTATTATCATTTATATTGTCATTGTTATCATTATTTATATATTTAACCTTTTACTTTTTCTATTTATTCTTTCATGTACGTCACTGTTACCATCAATTATCTCTTAACTGCTTTGTTCAGATTTTGTTATAAGTTTTATTTGGTACTTCGATCATCTCCACAAATCCTCTATCAAAAGTTGCTAAAAGCAGTTACGACTCGCCGCAATACAATAAAATTCTCGCCATCCTTTGGTACAGGTAGGAGTTCCAGTTTCATCCCATAGAGGAGTAAACACCATATTAAAGGCCTTGAAGAAAGGTGTCCTGGTACCGTCATCTCCAGATACTCAAAACGACTCAGGACTCCTACTACCAGGCCAGTCAACCGTGTGCCGTTTGGTGCCGCGGTAACGTTCTCGCCTGACAATCTTGCTGACCTAGGTTCAGTTCCCCGCCAAGGCAGTGGATGGTAACCCCGGCCATTCTTCGCACACAGGGTGTAGTTTAGAAACACAATAAACGGACAAACCACGATTTGATTGGTCATAAAAGCCTGTCACAGCAAGCCCTAAATTATTAATATCATTATCATCTGTCTCTTAAAGTCATAAACTTTGGGTTACTTTGATGTCATCGCCGTAAGCACGTATTCTGGGCAGATTCTAGCTGATTCCTAAAGCTTTGCATCTTGGTTGTTATCCAGATCTGAGGAGAAAGACCTCATTCGCCTCTAACTGTGGACCCATATCCCGTTTTGAGTTGTTTAAAGCATACCAAGGACTTTACAAAACAAACGCTCTATCTCAATAATTTCTTCACATAATGCACGCAGGAAACTCCAGGACAGTCGAGAAGCAACTTTCTAACCCCACCACCCCGAACCTAGATGAGACTATACACAGCAAGACACGCTACCCACAAAATACTTAAGGAAGCAATGAATTAGATGTTTAAACCTTTAAACAAGATGCTGAAAATGGTCCACTGTTTTCAGTATTTATATTTGCCATTTCGTAACATTTGTTGGGAAAAAAAACATTCTTTAACAACTTTCTTTTATTTACAAGAATAGCATGAGGAAAAGACCTATCCATCTTGCATGACAATAATTACATACACTAAAATCAAAATGTTAGAGGTATCGCAGCTCCCTCGAGCTGACGTACAGGGAAGGAAAAACAACCATTCTGTGGTCACGCAAAGTCCACAGTTGTTGCAATAGACACTGTGAAGGTAATGAGGTGCGTGATACTAAAGATGTTTGTTTACCTTGTGGCGTGAGCTTTGATGGTGCGGATGTAACATGAAAACTATTCTTCCTTTGATGTTGGATATGTAAGCAAGGAACTTTTGATAGAGCCGTCTGTGCTTTGAGGATGGATGGGTTTTATTGATGTGGGTGGGGAGGGGGAGGAGGGTAGGAGGGAGCGGGGTGGTAGGATGGAGGGGGATGGTAGGGGGCGGGGGCGGGGTACGAGGCCTCTCCTTCGTAGGCGACGTTGGCGACGTAGCCGTTGTCGTGATCGGCGGTGAATTCGACGATCTCGGTTCGGCCGTCGGGAAGAGCCACGCTGTAGGATCCGGAGGTGACGTGACCGTCGCTGGTCTGGGCGTGGGCGTAGTCGTTGCCCGAGTAGGGGTCCCTGACGGCGTAGCTGAAGTCGAAGGGCATTCCTGGCTGCTTGTAGGTCGGGTGAGGAGCGTGGTAGACGGGAGGAGAGTCGGGACGGGGGACGGCGGAGGCCAGAGCCGCGAGGGCGCCCACCAGGAGGATCAGCTGCGGGAGACAGGCTCATGAAAGACGGACGAGTGGGCGTGGACGAAGGAAGCGTCGCTCTGAGGCAACTGGTGTTTACATCTTGTTTCCAGTGGCATATAAAAGACACAACAGGTTTATTGACATGTAAAAGCAAGAATTGATAGGGAAAATCCAATAGATTATCGCGGATTAGTACGATTATATATATACTACTACAGGAAAATGCATCAAACTGAGACGAACGGTTGATCTAACAAGGGGGAAGAAAACTAGTCAGTTAACAAGTTCTAGACCCTTTTAGAAAATCTTGCTCGGTAGGTAAGATTAAAAAAAAAAAAAAAACAAAAAAAGTACAAAAAGTATCATAAAAGGATAGAGGCGTTACAATAATCGAAACGACAAATGGAGAACAACTTACTCTCATGTTGATGTTGGTCGCGGAGGATGAGGAGGAGCTGTGATGCTCAATCCGAGGGAGGGAGACCTTTATATAGTCCTGGAGGCGGTGACGTCACTTGGGACTGGCGGTTTTGGCGACAGCAGATGTGATGACAAGATCTAAAAAAAAAAAAAAAAAAAAAAAAGCGCAGGTACACACGTTAACAATTATGAATAATATTGATTTAATACCAAAGATGGGAGCAATATAACCAATGTTTTTTTTTCAAGATTATAAGAGTAGATGCAAATAGATGTAATAACGGCACTATTATTTGTTAAGACATTGATAATGCATTTTAAAACAGATACTAAATGGAGAATTTTATAATAAGGATAATGCATATTTTGGGGATGAGGATGCTAATATTGATAACACAATAGTATTGATACGATGATTATAAAGGCAATAATCAAGGGCAATAATATTGATGTTGCTGATAGCAATGAAAATGATAATGATAGCATTCTTGTTATTATGAACGTTTATAAGAATGCCTTGTGTCAGGAAAGTCGGTTTTCTGGACTTTCTATAACTGGCTTCACGTAATGGCGAGAGGCAACTAATTCTGGTAAAACAGATACTTCTCCTATAAAGAAAGTCGAGGCCATGGACCCAAAGTGTCCAACCCAATGACCCCGGGTTGGTGGGGCAGGTTATCAATTTTAGCATTTTATTATTTAGAACAATGAGCTATCCCCTAAATCTTATTTGCCTATTCGCCATTGGAGTGCGTTCGTCAAGTGCCAGAGCCTGTGCGGTGAAGAACCTTTTCATTTACGGATCATGTCTATCAATCTATCGACCGATCGGCACGAAAGCTCAAACACTGCATGGTCAGCTGCTGGTTCAGAACAGCGTCGACTTTCTTCAATAATTCTAAAACAAAACGCATGAGAGAGATAGTAAGCTCGTATTCCAGTATCTAAAAGGAGAAGCGAGGTGTCTGTATATTCTCTTTCCTTATAGTTATTCAGTAAATATGGAGCGATCTACGCAACTAGTGTAGTGCATCTTGCTGTTGCAGAGACATGGAACAGAGAACATGACGTAACAGCTTATTGTTAAAATATTTCGAGCGACGACAAATTATATCGAGATTTTTGGATGTGATATATACTATTCTGAATGAACCTGACAAGTATAGATAGATGCATAGATACAAGTAGTACTGTTGCAGCGATAAGCGTGTTAGAAAAAAAAATACTGAATATGAAAAATGAGATAATATTTCAGATGTTCGCAGCGGATGTTCAAGGGAAACATTACTAAAAAACTATTGGCTGTATTGAGCATTGGAAAAGTTTCCTTTACAAAGATATACTGCTTCATGGAAGTAACAAACTGGTAGAGATTAAGAAAAGGAGGAAGAAATGGAGAAATAGAAAAAGGAGAGTGTGAAAGAGAAAGAGGGAGACAGAGTGTATGAGAGAGAAAAATACAGGTAAATTCAGCACTGGTCAAAATTATAAATCAAGGTTTTCGTAAATCTGCCTTTATTTACAAGAATAACAACATAACGAAAGTGCCAAATGACATCCGTCCGTCAGCACTTTACATATGGCAATAGTTACAGAGTGAATGCATTACAAACGTAACAACAAGGAAGTTTATGGATGAGGAGAGGTCATGGAGTTATGATGAACTTGCGAAAAAATCAAGCAAGAAAATACAAAGTTGGGTTTTGACTTTGGGATTTTTCAGTTTCATGCTTTGGGTTTTACCGATGATCTTGCGTTAGTGTGGTGCGTTTAGGCGTAGGTGGGTGGGGGCGGGGGAGCTGGTAGGATGGAGCGGGGTGGTAGGGGGCGGGGGCGGGGTATGAGGCCTCTCCCTCGTAGATAACGTTGGCGACGTAGCCGTTGTCGTGATCGGCGGTGAATTCGACGATCTCGGTTCGGCCGTCGGGAAGAGCCACGCTGTAGGATCCGGAGGTGACGTGACCGTCGCTGGTCTCCTGGTGGGCGTAGTTGTTGCCTGAGTAGTCGTCGTTGACGGCGTAGGCGAACTCGAAGGGCATTCCTGGCTGCTTGTAGGTCGGGGGAGGAGCGCCGTAGACGGGAGGAGAGTCGGGACGGGGGGCGGCGGAGGCCAGAGCCGCGAGGGCGCCCACCAGGACGATCAGCTGCGGGAGACAGGCTCATGAAAGACACAGGAATGGGTGTGGACGACGGGAATCAGCGAGGGAACTGAGTTATTCTGACGTATCGTTCTCACAGCCTCACCAGGGAAATTGGTAAGGCAAGAAATGACAAGATTTGCAACAGGTTATTGTAGATTGGCATCTAACAATTTCCCCAGCAAGAAAATGCAACAGTAAAAAAAAAAAAAAAAAAAAAAAAAAAAATGCTGTTTACTATGTCATACTCTATAAACCTCACAGACAAGTCATATTGCAGAAAGAAAATGTATCCAAAGAGTATATCAACTGCAATAATTCAAAAGACTAGACAAGAGCCACTCACTCTCATGTTGAAGTTAGTTGCGTTGGAGCTAAGAAAGCTGTGATGCTCGGCAGAAGGAGGAGGCCCCTTATATACTCGCCGCCATGGTGGAAGTCGTGACGTCATTATTATGATTGATGGTTTTAGCGGCAAGAAATAGATTTCTAATGTAAATGAGACTTGTTTTTGCGTCATATGGTTGTAGTGCGATCACCCACATCGCTAAAAACAATACTGTAGGTGATAATGATTCTGTATCGGTATATTAGTGATGAATTTTGTAAACGGTGTGGAATGCAAGCATGGCAGTGAAGGCAGGCATACATAAGTGTAATATTGATAGTTCTCATTTAGTCAATACGGATGCAATTTGATGATGTTGAGAGTGATGATAATGCTTGATAGTTATTTTAGTGTGGATCAGGATAATGATAATGATATAGAGAATGGTAAAAATGACAATTAAGATAGTGAAAATAATGATATGATTATAAAAGTACAATAACAATAGTAATGGTAGTAATAATAATTAGATAAAAGAGCCATGATAAAAACGATAATATCAGTGATGATAAAGTTAATAACGATAATGATAATAACGGTAATGATATGAATAACAATATTACTACTACAACTACGAATACTAATTCCACGCCAAGCTAAACACGATGCCGCTCATTCACGGGTCGAAACGAGTTTCGGTGTTTTGAACTTTGGGTTCATGACTGGCTTCGGTTCGGCGAGGGAAGCTATTTCGATGTTTATTGTCTAGTCTTCTTTATTATTATCATTCGGTGGCCCTGACCAATATATAATCTCCAAGGCCCCGTTGAGTGGCTGTCGTCTTTTCAGATTCGGTTATATCCAGTTATGAATAGTGTAATGGTGTCAGGAGCTTTAGGACAACAAAATTTTATGGAAAGATTCCAATTTATTGATATGTGAGAAATGATTACATGTAAGTACTGTCTGTAAGATAAAATTCAGTTTAATTCGACATCATAATTTTCATATTGGTCCATGGGCCCCTAGAAAACACCCCGAGGGCCCCTGGGAGCCATGGATCCCAGGTTGGGAAACCCTACAATACATGTTCTTTATTTCTCTCATAAAGATATAACAAACATCTTTCTCTGAAAGCTGACTTGTTTCATACTAATGTGATTGATTACCTGTAACAAGCTATTTCGAAGCAGTACATGCATCGCACCTGCCAGTACTAATTGCTTTCGCCTCTATCGAAATGGTTGGTCTATAATGCTTCGAATGCTCTCTCGGGCATTGGTAGCATGGAGAAAAATCACACCGATGGCATGCAACGTGGCATTTCTGATGAATGAGTAGATGGAGACTGAAAATGATATTCTACATAGTCCAGTTAGAAAATGTATCTTTTCCTCCTCCATTACTGGCTACTGGAAAACGAACTTCTATTACTTTTATCCATCTGTCATTATTTATCCATTCATCACTATCTATAATTTACCATTTTTATTTCTAATTCATAAAAATAACTACGCTCGACGCAATTCCGAAATCAACTCCTGAACACCCGTCGCCTGAGCCCTCGTTCCGTTTCGTCGATCGTCACACATCGTCCAGAACGGAAAATATTCTTCACCGCAACGCCTCTGAAAATTCACTAACGCACTCCAGTAAAAAAAAAAAAAAAAAAAAAAAAAAAAAAAAAAAAAAAAAATGGTGACAAATAACAGTCTACAAGAAGGGTTCCCAGCCACGGGGTTCCTTCTTGGGGGCCATGGACCAATATGAAAATTTTGAGGTGGAATTAAGCTGAATTTTATCTCTATGCAGTACCTGCATATAGCATATCAATGACTTAGAATCTTTCCATAAAGCGTTCTTGTCTTATAGCTACTGACACAATTACACTGTTCATAACTAGTAATAACTGAATCTGGAAAGACGACAGACACTGAATGGGGCCAAGGATATTATATAATGGTCAGGGGACAGAACGAAAAAGGGGGAACCACTTATATATTGCGTCAAGTATCATCTCGGGATTTTCTGCTCAGAATGAATGTGTTTGGAAAGAATTAAGAAAGGACAGAGAGAAAGACAGAGACACACTGTTAGATTCAGTTCATGGTAAAACATACTCAGTAAGTATCTCTGTTCAACAAATTTCGGATCCAGACTTTAAGGTAAATTTTGATTTGAAAAGATAGTTTTGGTATACATGCTTTTATTTACAAGAATAATTTATCACAACTAAAGTGCCAATTGACAGTCGTCTATGAGCACTTTGAATATGGCAAGAGTTGAAAATATCTCGAAGGAATATATTAAAAAGTCTTGTAAACCATAACAGCAAGAATGTGGAAGGATGGAGAGGGACGTCGTGGAAAGCAAGCAGGGACTGGGCCGGACGGGACGAGTGCTTGCAGGAGTGAAGCGGGGAGTCAGAGAGCTTCATGAGTCGCTGGTGGATGGCACTTGGTGAGCTTGGGACCGGGAGGTTGAGGCAAGACGCAGTGGGTTCGTTTGATTTGGGTATGAATCTGCAGGTCGATGATTGAGTTGTCCCGCCCAGGTTCTGCTTGCGTTTAGGTGGTGCGTTTAGGCGTAGGTGGGTGGGGGTGGGGGAGCTGGGTAGGATGGAGCGGGGTGGTAGGGGCGGGGGCGGGGTACGAGGCCTCTCCCTCGTAGATGACGTTGGCGACGTAGCCGTTGTCGTGATCGGCGGTGAATTCGACGATCTCGGTTCGGCCGTCGGGAAGAGCCACGCTGTAGGATCCGGAGGTGACGTGACCGTCGCTGGTCTCCTGGTGGGCGTAGTTGTTGCCTGAGTAGTCGTCGTTGACGGCGTAGGCGAACTCGAAGGGCATTCCTGGCTGCTTGTAGGTCGGGGGAGGAGCGCCGTAGACGGGAGGAGAGTCGGGACGGGGGGCGGCGGAGGCCAGAGCCGCGAGGGCGCCCACCAGGACGATCAGCTGCGGGAGACAGGCTCATGAAAGACACAGGAATGGGTGTGGACGACGGGAATCAGTGAGGGAACTGAGTGATTCTGACTTGTATCGTTCTCACAGCCTCACCAGGGAAATTGGTAAGGCAAGAAACTTAAGAAACGTGATAATAAATTAAAAGAAAAAAAAATCGTGAGAATTCTCCTTGCACGAAAATGCCAAAAATTGAGACAAAATGAATAAAGTTCTAGACAGTTTACTATATCAGTCACTATAAACCCATATAAAGTAATAGTCAAAGTACAATAAATGCATCCAAAGACTATATCCATTGCATTAATTCGAAAGACTAGACAAGAGCCACTCACTCTCATGTTGATGTTGGTTGCGGAGGAGCTGAGAAAGCTGTGATGCTCGGCTGAAGGAGGAGGCCCCTTATATACTCGCCGCCATGGTGGAAGTCGTGACGTCATTATTATGATTGACGGCTACAGCGATGAGAAATAGATTTCTAATGTAAATGAGACTTACTTTTGCGAAATATGGTTGTAGTGTAATCACCCTCATCACTAAAAACAATACTGTAGGTGATAATGATTCTGTATAGGTATATTAGTGATGAATTTTGTAAACGATGTGGAATGCAAGTATGACAATGAAGGTAAGCAATGCAATATTGATACTGTTCTCATTCAGTCAATACGGATGCAATCTGATGATGCTGATAGTGGTGATAATGCCTGATAATCGTTTTAGCGTGGATTATGATAGTGATAATGATAGAATGGTAAACATGACGATTAAGATTGTGATAATAATATGATTATAAAAGTACAATAACAATTGTAATGATAGTAATGATAATTAGATATGATAGTCATGATAATAACAACGATTATAATATCAGTGATGATAAAGTTAATGGCGATAATGATAATAACGGTAATAATATTAATAACAATATTACTACTACAACTGCGAATACTAATGCTGCGTTCGGAACTGCTCGTCTATCTCGTCCAGACCAGTTGGACGAGATGTTTTGACCGTTCGGAACCTCCACTATCTCGTCCCGGACAAGTAGTCTAGCTCGTCCAACTCGCCCTCCTGCGAAGGTGGCCGAGCAGGACGGGATGACGTCACAATAGATTTTGTATGTAAACATCAACCGTTGCAGGTAACCACAAGATATTGGTGGGTAATTTTATGCCCCTTAATTGGTGTTATCAAAGGATATTTTTGTGTTTGTCAGTTGCAGGTAAGTTACATGTGCATCAAAGGAGTTACAAAACCTATGCAGCGTGTAAAATAAAGACACCGGTATGATAAAAAAAGTGAATGTTTACATTCGAGCCGGTTGCATTCTGGGCAGAAAGGGTCTTGGAGGTTCCGAATGCGGCGCATCTCGTCCTGCTGGTCCTGGACAAGATGTCTGGACGAGATAGACGAGCAGTTCCGAACGCAGCATAATTTCTCGTTAAACTAAGGACGAAGCCGCTCATTCACGGTTCGAGACGGGCTTCGGAGTCAGCTTCGGTATTTCGATCTTTGGGTTCATGACTGGCTTCGGTTCAGCGAGGAAAGCTATTTCGCTGTTTATTTTCTAGTGTTCTTTATTACTGTAGAGAAGCAATTTTTTTGTTTTTATTATCATTGGGTGGCCACGACCAATATATAATATCCATGGCCCCGTTGAGTGACTGTCGTCTTTTCAGATTCGGTTATTTCTAGTTATGAATAGGTATTGGTGTCAGTAGCTATAGGACAAGGACACTTTATGGAAAGATTCCAATTTATTGATATGTGAGAAATTATTACATGTAAGTACTGCATGTGAGATAAAATTCAGTTCATTTCGACATCATAATTTCCACATTGGTCCATGGGCCCCCAGAAAGTACCCCGTGGGCCCCTGGGAGCCATGATTCCCAGGTTGGGAAACCCTACAATACATGTTCTTTATTTCTCTTGTAAAGATATAACAAACATCTTTCTCTGAAAGCTGAGTTGTTTTATACTAATATGATTGATTATCTGTTACAAGCTATTTCGAAAAAGTACATGCATTACATCTGCCAGTACTACTTGCTTTGGCGTCTGTCGAAGTCTATAGGAAGGGTTCCCAACCAGGGGGCCATGGACCAAAATGAAAATTCTGGCGTCGAATTAAACTGAATTTTATATCACCTATAGTACCTGCATTCGAATGTAACATATCAATGAATTAGATTCTTTCCATTAAGCTTTCTTGTCCTATAGCTACTGACACAATTACTCTATTCATAACTAGTAAAAACTGAATCTAAAAAGACGACAGACACTGAATGGGGCCATGGATATTATCATATAATGTTCAAGGGGACAGAACGAAAAAGGGGGAACCACTTATATATTGCGTCAAGTATCATCTCGGGATTTTCTGCTCAGAATGAACATGTTTGGAAAGAATTAAGAAAGGACAGAGAGAAAGACAGAGACACACTGTTAGATTCAGTACATGGTAAAACATACTCAGTAAGTATCTCTGTTCAACAAATTTCGGATCCAGACTTTAAGGTAAATTTTGGTTTGAAAAGATAGTTTGGTATACATGCTTTTATTTACAAGAATAATTTAACACGACTAAAGTGCCAATTGACAGTCGTCTATGAGCACTTTGAATATGGCAAGAGTTGAAAATATCTCGAAGGAATATATTAAAAAGTCTTGTAAACCATAACAGCAAGAATGTGGAAGGATGGAGAGGGACGTCGTGGAAAGCAAGCAGGGACTGGGCCGGACGGGACGAGTGCTTGCAGGAGTGAAGCGGGGAGTCAGAGAGCTTCATGAGTCGCTGGTGGATGGCACTTGGTGAGGTTGGGTCCGGGAGGTTGAGGCAAGACGCAGTGGGGTTCGTGAGTTGATTTGGGTATGAATCTGCAGGTCGATGATTGAGTTGTCCCGCCCAGGTTCTGCTTGCGTTTAGGTGTTGCGTTTTAGCGTAGGTGGGTGGGGGTGGGGGAGCTGGGTAGGATGGAGCGGGTGGTAGGGGGCGGGGCGGGGTACGAGGCCTCACCCTCGTAGATGACGTTGGCGACGTAGCCGTTGTCGTGATCGGCGGTGAATTCGACGATCTCGGTTCGGCCGTCGGGAAGAGCCACGCTGTAGGATCCGGAGGTGACGTGACCGTCGCTGGTCTCTGGTGGGCGTAGTTGTTGCCTGAGTAGTCGTCGTTGACGGCGTAGGCGAACTCGAAGGGCATTCCTGGCTGCTTGTAGGTCGGGGGAGGAGCGCCGTAGACGGGAGGAGAGTCGGGACGGGGGGCGGCGGAGGCCAGAGCCGCGAGGGCGCCCACCAGGACGATCAGCTGCGGGAGACAGGCTCATGAAAGACACAGGAATGGGTGTGGACGACGGGAATCAGTGAGGGAACTGAGTGATTCTGACTTGTATCGTTCTCACAGCCTCACAAGGGAAATTGGTAAGGCAAGAAACTTAAGAAGTTACGTGATAATAAATTAAAAGAAAAAAAATCGTGAGAATTCTCCTTGCACGAAAATGCCAAAAATTGAGACAAAATTAATAAAGTTCTAGACAGTTTACTATATCAGTCACTATAAACCCATATAAAGTAATGGTCAAAGTACAATAAATGCATCCAAAGAGTATATCCATTGCATTAATTTGAAAGACTAGACAAGAGCCACTCACTCTCATGTTGATGTTGGTTGCGGAGGAGCTAAGAAAGCTGTGATGCTCGGCAGAAGGAGGAGGCCCTTTATATACTCGCCGCCATGGTGGAAGTCGTGACGATTTATGATTGATGGTTTTTCTAATGTTTGAAATAGATTTCTAATGTAAATGAAACTTGTTTTTGTGTCATATGGTTGTAGTGCAATCATCCACATCACTAAAAACAATACTGTAGGTGATATTTATCATGATATTAGTAATTACTGTAGTGATAACACTTATAACTAATAATTAGCATGGTGATGATACCGAAATAATGACAATGAGGTAATGACAATAATACAAAAGCAATGATGACAACAGTAATAGTAATGATAATGATAAGAAATAAAGTTACATAATGGTAGTAATTATTATACTAATGGTAATGATAATAACCAGACTGATCATAATCATAGTGATATCAATATCAATAATGATAATAACAAGAATGAGAATAACAGGAATTATGAAAATGATAATAATGATCGTGCTGAAAATGACAACAAGTTCAACAAATACAATAATAATAATAGAAATAATAATAAAAAAACAAAACAAAAAAATAATGGTAACAGTAAACAATAATAACAATGGTAGTAATAACAATAATGATGATAATAACAATAATAATTATAATAGTAATAATAAGGATGATAACGAAATGATAACAATAACAATAATAATAGTAATGATAATAATGATGATAGTAATGATAATTGGTGATAATGACAATAATGATAATAATAATAGATAAATAATGATAATAACCATGGCAACGGTAGAGAATTAAAAAAAAATATATATGATTTTAATAATCTTAATATATATATATATGAAGATAATAATGATGATAAAAATACAACAATAACAAAAGTAATAGTAATAATAATAATTATTAGATATAATAGCCATGATAATATGGCCCCGAGCACTATATGATAGTCTCCATGGCCCCGTTCAGTGACTGTCGTCTTTTCAGATTGTTATTTCTATTTATGAATAGTGTAACTGTGTCAGTAGCTATAGGATAAGAACACTTTATGAAAAGATTCAATTCATTGATATGTGAGAAATGATTATACGTAAGGACTGTATGTGAGATAAAATTCAGTTTAATTCGACGTCATAATTTTCATACTGGTCCATGGGCCTCCAGAAAGTACCCTGTTGCCCCCTGGGAGCAATGGCCCCCAGGTTGGGAAACCCTATAATACATATTCTCTATTTCTCTTATAAAGATATAACAAACATCTTTCTCGCCTGAAAACTGACTTGTTTTATACCGATATGATTGATTCCCAGCCACGGGGTACCTTCTTGGGGATGGACTAATATGGAAATTATGAGGTCGAATTAAGCTGAATTTTATCTCACCTGCAGTACCTGCATATAGCATATCAATGACTTAGAATCTTTCCATAAAGCGTTCTTGTCTTATAGCTACTGACACAATTACACTGTTCATAACTAGTAATAACTGAATCTGGAAAGACGACAGACACTGAATGGGGCCAAGGATATTATATAATGGTTAGGGGACAGAACGAAAAAGGGGGAACCACTTATATATTGCGTCAAGTATCATCTCGGGATTTTCTGCTCAGAATGAACATGTTTGGAAAGAATTAAGAAAGGACAGAGAGAAAGACAGAGACACACTATTAGATTCAGTTCATGGTAAAACATACTGAGTAAGTATCTCTGTTCAACAAATTTCGGATCCAGACTTTAAGGTAAATTTTGATTTGAAAAGATAGTTTTGGTATACATGCTTTTATTTACAAGAATAATTTATCACAACTAAAGTGCCAATTGACAGTCGTCTATGAGCACTTTGAATATGGCAAGAGTTGAAAATATCTCGAAGGAATATATTAAAAAGTCTTGTAAACCATAACAGCAAGAATGTGGAAGGATGGAGAGGGACGTCGTGGAAAGCAAGCAGGGACTGGGCCGGACGGGACGAGTGCTTGCAGGAGTGAAGCGGGGAGTCAGAGAGCTTCATGAGTCGCTGGTGGATGGCACTTGGTGAGCTTGGGTCCGGGAGGTTGAGGCAAGACGCAGTAGGGTTCGTGAGTTGAATTGGGTATGAATCTGCAGGTCGATGATTGAGTTGTCCCGCCCAGGTTCTGCTTGCGTTTAGGTGGTGCGTTTAGGCGTAGGTGGGTGGGGGTGGGGGAGCTGGGTAGGATGGAGCGGGGTGGTAGGGGGCGGGGCGGGGTACGAGGCCTCACCCTCGTAGATGACGTTGGCGACGTAGCCGTTGTCGTGATCGGCGGTGAATTCGACGATCTCGGTTCGGCCGTCGGGAAGAGCCACGCTGTAGGATCCGGAGGTGACGTGACCGTCGCTGGTCTCCTGGTGGGCGTAGTTGTTGCCTGAGTAGTCGTCGTTGACGGCGTAGGCGAACTCGAAGGGCATTCCTGGCTGCTTGTAGGTCGGGGGAGGAGCGCCGTAGACGGGAGGAGAGTCGGGACGGGGGGCGGCGGAGGCCAGAGCCGCGAGGGCGCCCACCAGGACGATCAGCTGCGGGAGACAGGCTCATGAAAGACACAGGAATGGGTGTGGACGACGGGAATCAGTGAGGGAACTGAGTCATTCTGACTTGTATCGTTCTCACAGCCTCACCAGGGAAATTGGTAAGGCAAGAAACTTAAGAAGTTACGTGAAAATAGATTAAAAGAAAAAAAAAATCGTGAGAATTCTCCTTGCACGAAAATGCCAAAAATTGAGACAAAATGAATAAAGTTCTAGACAGTTTACTATATCAGTCACTATAAACCCATATAAAGTAATGGTCAAAGTGCAAAAAATGCATCCAAAGACTATATCCATTGCATTAATTCGAAAGACTAGACAAGAGCCACTCACTCTCATGTTGATGTTGGTTGCGAAGGAGCTGAGAAAGCTGTGTTGCTCGGCTGAAGGAGGAGGCCCTTTATATACTCGCCGCCATGGTGGAAGTCGTGACGTCATTGTTATGATTGATGGCTGCAGCGGCGAGAAATAATTTCTAATAATGTAAATGAGAACTGCTTTCGCGAATAGTAAAATTAAGGCGGCAGTGCAGGTGCCAACATCACTAACAGCGATAATGTAGGTGATGCTAATTCAATATTTGAGTTTTATATACAATATTTGATGCAGACATGGCAATGAAGGTAGGTACACATAGACGCAATAATAATACTGATTTCCCTCAATACGAAAAGATTTTGAGGTTTATGATCAATACATCAAACATTTTTTTTCCATAATTTCTATGATAGTCATTTTAGCGGTAATTATTATAATAATGGTAATGACAGAGAAAATAGTGAAAGTGATGGCGATTGTAATTGTAATGATAAAATTTACTTTAAAGGTTATGACAGTAATGATTACTGTCATTATGATAATAACTAGGGTAATAATCAGGATGATAATGATTTCAAAGAAATTAGCAATAATGGTTATTATGACGCCGCTGATGATAACCATAATACTAATATTAATTCTAATACTCAGATTATTACCTCTGACAGTGATCTTAATAATGATAACAATGATAACAATCATGCTATCCGTGATAGTAATAAAAATGTTAATAGTAAAAAAAATATAACAAAAATAATGATAATGATAATGAAGACAAAGTAATCATAATAAAATATAATAGTAATGCTAATAATGACAAAGATATGAATAGTATTAATGATAATAACAATGATAATAATGATAATAACAATGATAATAATGATAATAACAATGATAATAATAATGATAATAACAATGACGATAATAATGATGATAACAGTGGTAATGATTATGCTAATAATAATAAAGATAACAATGATATTATCAGTAACAATAACAGTAATAATGATAATGATGATAATCATGATAATGATAATAACAACAACAATGATAACTTTAATAATAATAAAATAATTTAATGATAATAATTATAATAATGGCAGTGGTAATAATCACAGTGATAGTAATATTAGTAATGAAGATAATAATGATGAAATTGATAATAAATATATTAGTGTGAATAACAATAATAATGAGGATTAAGACTAAAGCGATATTGACAGCGGTTAGAATACTGATACTAAGGATACTACAAACAATAATACTAATACTACGTCAAAGAAAGTCGAGGTCGTTCGTTCACAGGTCGGCTTCATCGGTGTTTCGATTCGGTTCTTGACTGGCTTCGGTCGGCGTGGGAGACTACATATTTCGCTGTGTATCATCTAGTGTTAGTTATTATTTTATAGATTCTTATTCTATTTTAAAGGTGTGCGTTCATGAAATCCCAGAGGCTTTGCAGTTAAAAATGTATTTAATTTTGGATAGTGTGTGACGGTGTGACGACGGATCGGAACAAAGACCTCAGACGTTGGAGGTTCAGCTGTTAACTCGAAATTGCGTCCGAATTTATTTTGTAATTTTTTATTTTCTTAGTGAATCATAAATAGAAAGATTGAAATCGTGGCCACTGATAAATGCAAAATAAGCAATAATTGATCATAGAAAAATATAAGCTCGTATTTTCAGTTTAGTTGGGAAGGGAGTTGGATTAATTTTCTGATACTGTTTGAACTGTTTTCATAAATATATTTAAATAGAGATATTGCGGCCATCGATGCATTTTTTCTCCATGTAACAAAAACAAGATAAATCATACAAAGTGATGGAGAGAGAGAGAGAGAGAGAGAGAGACGAGCTGATAAAATCAGAATTTCGTGAACTTTTACATGAATTTAAGCAGTTTTTACTACACATTTCAAATTTAGTCATTATGAAAAATGCATTGAAAAGATCAAGAGTTTTCGTAAATATGCCTTTATTTACAAGAATAATTTAACACGACTAAAGTGCCAATTGACAGTCGTCTATGAGCACTTTGAATATGACAAGAGTTAAAAATATCTATAAGGAATATATTAAAAAGTTTTGTAAACCATAACAGCAAGAATGTGGAAGGATGGAGAGGGACGTCGTGGAAAGCAAGCAGGGACTGGGCCGGACGGGACGAGTGCTTGCAGGAGTGAAGCGGGGAGTCAGAGAGCTTCATGAGTCGCTGGTGGATGGCACTTGGTGAGCTTGGGTCCGGGAGGTTGAGGCAAGACGCAGTGGGGTTCGTGAGTTGATTTGGGTATGAATCTGCAGGTCGATGATTGAGTTGTCCCGCCCAGGTTCTGCTTGCGTTTAGGTGTTGCGTTTAGGCGTAGGTGGGTGGGGGTGGGGGAGCTGGGTAGGATGGAGCGGGTTGGTAGGGGGCGGGGGCGGGGTACGAGGCCTCTCCCTCGTAGATGACGTTGGCGACGTAGCCGTTGTCGTGATCGGCGGTGAATTCGACGATCTCGGTTCGGCCGTCGGGAAGAGCCACGCTGTAGGATCCGGAGGTGACGTGACCGTCGCTGGTCTCCTGGTGGGCGTAGTTGTTGCCTGAGTAGTCGTCGTTGACGGCGTAGGCGAACTCGAAGGGCATTCCTGGCTGCTTGTAGGTCGGGGGAGGAGCGCCGTAGACGGGAGGAGAGTCGGGACGGGGGGCGGCGGAGGCCAGAGCCGCGAGGGCGACCAGGAGGACGAGCTGCAAGAAACAAACACATTCTTTTAGACTTGTGAATAAGAGGCACGTCATTGCCTCAGACCAACGTGACCAGCATTCGGACGTAAAGGAGAATAAAGGAAACTGCCTTCCTCGGATAGTAAGAACGAAAAGAAGAAAAGAAAGAGAGGAAAATCAGAAAATATCTTTTTGGATGTGTGTGTGTATGTGTAATGTCTTTCGACTGAATAACATCCTGACGATACTATATTAATACACTGAAACAATAGATCATATGAAAACGAATCTCAAAACCAAGACTATTCTATAGTTATCTGATGAGGTCTCGCTCTAAATCGAAGCGCGATGGTTTACAAATTGTTCTTTATTGTTGTGGCTGCGTTTCACTGTCCTCACGGTACTGCCTCTGCCTAATAGAACATATACTAAACCAAACGACTATCATCCAAGAATATGACAGAATTATTCAGAACTGATCATGATTACACATAAAGGATTGCACCTGAAGAGGATTACACCCCCATATATATATATATATATATATATATATATATATATATATATATAATATATATATGATAAATTCTATAGTTTATGCGGATCATCAACTATTATCTCCCCTATTAAGAAAAAAATTACATTACCCTCCCTAAAATTAAAATGATAGTAGGTATGTAATGAACAGAAAAAAGAAAATATTTATATAACAGATATAAAAGTAAACAAACAAACAAACAAGGCAACCCACCCTCCCGACAAAAGACAAAACAATAAACAAAGTCATCCACCAACCTTAGCAGACATGGCAGCGGTCGGGTGTTGTTTGCAAAGGAGCCGAAGAAGCTATGATGCTCAGAGGAGGGTCGCCCGCCTTATATATACCGGAGGCGCCGTGGCCCACCGCAGGGATTTCGCCACCCGTGCAAGGAGAAAAGTCCCCCCTCCCCCCCCACCCCTAGGTAATTAGTGGGGGGTTTGGTTGAGGAGGGGGGGGCAGGTGGGTAGTCCCTCCCCCTCCCCTCCCACCCCTAGGTAATTAGTGGGGGGGGTTTTGGTTGAGGAGGGGGGGGGCAGGTGGTAGTCCCCCTCCCCCTCCCCTCCACCCTAGGTAATTAGTGGGAGGATTTGGTTGGAGGGGGGATAGGTGGGTAGGTGTAGGGTGGGGTGGGGTGGGAGGGTTAAGGGGATTCTATCTCTTTCTCGGGGTTTGTTTGGTGGGGGTTTCTCTTGTAAGTTGGGTGTCTGGTTCGCGTTCTCTGCCTCTCTCTGTGTTTCTGTCTGTCTTTCTGTCTGGCATCCTGTGCCTGGCTTTCTATGTACTTGTGTCTGTCATTTCATTTATATGTATGCGCGCACACACACACACTCACACACACACACATATATGTGATTCTCTGCCTATTCGAATCAATCAATCAATGTCTTTCAATTTCCTGTCCTCTCTTTCTACTTTCCTATCTCCCTTTCCTCCCTCCCTCTCTCTTCTTCCTCTTTCCCTCCCTCCTCTCCCTTCCCCCTCCCTCCCTCTTTCCTTATTCTTTCCTTCTCTCCCTCCATTCCTGTCTCCTTTCCTCTTTACCTCTCCCCTCTCTCTCTTTCTCTCTCCCTCTATTGCCTTCTCCACTACCTCTCTTCCTTTCTCTCTCTCTCTCTCTCTCTCTCACATTTTCCAAACCCTCTCTTTACGTCATTACTTACGTCACCGCTAGATTAATGACGTCACAATTGCATCACAGCTGACCATCGCAAACCGCCGTAAAGAGATTCTCATGTGTAGATGTACGCTCGTGTGCGTGCGTACATGTGTATGCGTGTTGCTGGCACATCATGGTCCATTTACGAAGAGCTCGCCAAACACGCGTAGAGGCGAGAGAAAGTGCGAGTGCAGCGTTTAAGTTAAACACTCGAGGGAGAAAAAGAATGACAAAAATGGGTGCTTTAAACCTCAGAAGGTTAGAGTATTTATGGCCAAGAAGAAGGAGGTTTGGTTACTAAATCTCGTAATGGTTTGTACTTCACCTTGAGACTGAATATTACGGGAATGAGGTTCAATTTTCATTCTTTTTTTTCGAGCTCTCTGGGTCCGTTTTAGGTTAGCTATTGTAATAGAGAATGTATGTACAAACATCCTTCGCGGAGTTCAGATGTGTATGTATGACCACACACACACACACACACACACACGCACACATACGCACACACACACATCGCATTACCATCCGAGTGAATGTATGTATGTACACGTGCGTGAACAGAGAACAAACATTAAACCTCTACATCACCATTCTGCACAAAATCAACCGTGACTCCAATACCCATTTGCTATTGTTCTTTACGAAGATAATAAATAAAATAACACACTGCCACTGTCATTATCGTTACGCAATCATATTTTTCGTCTCCTAAAAGTGATAGTTCTGACCTGACCGGATCGCCGAGGGACACGACAGCGCTTCCCACACTCTAATAGAAAACGGGTTACTATCCTCCGTTTTCTTTCATTTCTGTGTTTTTGTCCTTTTTCTAAGGGATCTCTATTTTGTTGGTTTGTTTATTGAATTTCTTCTTCTTTTTGTAGCTGTAGGTCCGTTACTTGTTTATTTTTTCGTTATCTTTATGTGTTTTTATTTAATTTTGTTTGTTTAAATGTAGATATTATTTTCTTTGTGTGTGTTTTTTTTTTTTTTTTTTTTTTTTTTTTTTTTTTTTTTTTTTATCTTTGTCTCTAATTTCCTCTCTTTTATCATTCTATTCTTCCTGCTGCTCTGTCCTGTGTTTGGAAATATAATTACATTTTTCTCTCCCTCATTGCCATTATCATTATTACTGTTGTTGTTGACATTGTTATCATTAGTATTGACGTCATTATGATTATGATAGTAATGATGATGATAGTAATAATAATGATAATAATAATTAATAATGATGTTAATGATAAAAGATGATAATGATAAGGATAACGATGGCGATGATGATGATAATGATGATGATGACGATGACGATGGCGATGATAATAATAATGATAATAATAATAATGATAATGATAATAATAATGATAATAATAATAATAATTATAATAATAATAATGATAATAATTGTTATTATTATTATTATTATTTATCATCATTGTTGTTTTTGTTGTTATTATTATCATTATTATTTTCAATGTTATTATTATCGTCATTATCAGAACTATTATCACTATTATCATTATTATTAACATTATTATTATTATTGCTATTATTATTATAATTATTATCATCATCATCATCATCATTATCATCATCATTATCATAATCATTGTTATTATCATTGTTCTTATTATCAATAATATTGATTAATATCATTGTTATTAGTATATTTATTATTGACATAATTTTTATTATTATTGTCATTACTATTATCATTATTGTTATTTCCATTACTATCATTATTATTATTACTATTATTACCACCATCATTATCATTGTCATTACTGTCATTAATACTACTACTATTTTCATTATTGTTATTATCGTGATTATTATTGTTATTATTATTAGTATTATCATTATTGATATTATCATCATTATCATCATTATCCTTGTTTATCATCATTACTATTTTTGTTATGGTCATTCTTATTATTATCATTTTCATTATCATTATTATCATCATTCTTGTTTTATTATCATGATTATTATCATTGTTATTATTATCATTATTATTGTCATGATTATTATTATTATCATTAATGTAATTTTCATTATAATTATTATTACTATTATCATTATGATAATTATTATCATTATCACTACTGTTATAATCACTATTATCTTTATCATTACTATATTTGTTATCATTATCATCCTTATTGTCGTTATTATTATTATTATCATTATTGTTATTATCATTATTATTATTATTATTATTATTATTATTATTATTATTATTATTATTATTATTATTATTATTATTTTATTATTATTATTATTATTATTATTATTTATTATTATTATTTATTATTATATTATTATTATTATTATTATTATTATTATTATTATTATTATTATTATTATTATTATTATTATTATTATTATTATTATTATTATTATTATTATTATTATTATTATTATCATTATTATTATCATTGTTATTATTATTATTATCATTATTATTGTTATTGTTGTTGTTGTTGTTGTTGTTATTGATTTGTATTAGTATCATTACTATTGTTGTTATTACTATGCTCATCATTATTATTGCTATTGTTATTATCATCCTTATTATTTTTGTTATCATTATTATCATCATCATTATCAGTAGTAGTGATAATGTTGTCATTATTATTACTATCATCATCATTAATCATCAACACCATCATCATCATGATTAATCATCAACACCATCATCATCTTGATAATAATAATAATTGTAATGAGGATAATAATGATGATGATGATAATGATAGTGATATAATGATAATAAGAATATTAATGATAGTAACATTAGTAGTGATGATGATGAATGTTGATAGTAATAATGACAATAATAGTAATGATAATAATGATGATGATAATGATGATAGTAATAATAACAATAACAGTAGTAATGATAATGATATTGATAATGATAATGATAATGCTGTAATGATGATAGTAATGATGATGATGATGATGATGATGATGATGATGATGATAATAATAATAACAATAATAACAATAATAATAATAGTTATAATAATAATAATAATGATAACAATAATAACTGTTATTAGTGTTATTATTATTATTATTATTATTATTATCATTATTATTATTGTTATTATTATTATCATTATTACTATTATTATTATTATTATTATTATTATTGTTATTATAACAACAACAACAACAATAATAATAATAATAATAATAACAATAATCATGATAATGATAATAATATCAATGATAATGATAATAATATTTATGATAATGATAATAATGATAATAATGATAATGATGATAATGATAATAATAATGATAATGATATGACATGATGATGATGATAATGATAATAATGATGATATAAATGATAATAGGAATAAATAATCATAATGATAACAATAATGATTATTGTCACTTTCTCGTATATCATCATCATATGATCTAAATTCGGAACAGATAAACCCGTTAATTGCTCATTAATTAAACTATCTAATGAAGTGAAATTTATTAAACAAACCAGACTTTATTTAATCAATGGCGCAGTCATGAAAATGCCGTTTTCTTTTTGGCCGCAATTGGGTTACAGGGGTGACTTGTCTATTTTGTGAAAGTCGATTTTTTTTTTTCCTTTTATGGTACTGTACGTGTAAGGTAATGTTCAGAGATTTGAATGACCTCATCACTAATTTGTAAGTCATCCTTGACTGCCTTTGCATAGTTCTTGTCTCTTTATTTGGCCTAATTTAATTATTTTTATTGTTTGTGTGATCTCAAAGTTTTTCATTATTGCTAGTTGTCTCATAAAATTTGTTTATTTTTTAAGTCTATTGTATTTTTTGTAAGGATAACGACGATGGTTATCAATATTACTATAATTATCATTAGTATTATTATTAGTAGTAGTTTTGTTATTATTATTATTATTATCATCATCATTATCATAATCATTATCACAATGCCAATCATCATCATCATCAAGATCCTCATCATTATTATCATTGTTAATATTATGATGATTAAAATCACCATTATTATCATCATTATTATTACTGTCGTTTTTGCACTTGTTATTATTGTTCTTGTTGCTATCACAGTTATCATTATCATTATCATAATTATCATCACTTCCATCAGCCTCATCAATATCATCACGTATCATCATATCAGTATCATCATCATCATCATCATCATTAACGTCATCATCATCTCTACTATTAGTCTCAACATCATCATCATCATCAATAACATTACTCATTAACATTTCATCACCGCTGCCACTCTCATTATCAAAAAAAGAAAAAAAAAGAAAGAAAGAACTAAATAAATAAAAAAAAGAAAAATAAAACGAATACAAACAAGAAGGTGAAGAGATTACAAAAACATTCCGAAAAGTAGAACAAATACACGAAAATTGAGAGTGGTTTGGTTGCTATGGCGACCACAAAAATGCAGAAAGAGAGAGAGAGAAGAGAAGAGGAGAGAAGAGAAGAGAAGAGAAGAGAAGAGAGAGAGAGAGAAGAGAGAGAGAGAGAGAGAGAGAGAGAGAGAGAGAGAGAGAGAGAGAGAGAGAGAGAGAGAGAGAGAGAGAGAGAGAGAACGAAAGAGAGAGAGAAAGAGAAGAGAGAGAGAGAGAGAGAGAGAGAGAGAGAAGAGAGAGAGAGAGAGAGAGAGAGAGAGAGAGAGAGAGAGAGAAATAATATATTTAGCCTTCTACGGTCCTAAAGGAGAAACTGAAAGACTAATAAAAAACAGCGTATATTCATGGTAGATATAAAAAATGATTATAATGATGGTGGTGGTGATGAAGATGATAAAGATAATAATGATGTTCATAATGATAATAATTATGATAATGATAATAATTATGATAATGATAATAATTATGATAATGATGATAATTATGATAATAGATATCATAGAAACAATAATGACAAAAAAGAATAATGATAATGATAATAGTGATATTGAATAACAATGATAAAGAAAGTAAGAGGATCCAATAGCAAGTTAAATAAACACAAAAGTAAATAGATGAAGACACAGAAAATGATGAGAAAAAAAATTGGCGGGAAATTTTGGCGGGAAATAACGGCCCGACCTTCGTTCATGGGAGCGTATTTGTGGCTGCATTGTTGCTTAGCGTTTTTCTTTTGTTTTTGGGTCGTTCTTATTTGTTTTTATTTCTCTTGTTTGCTATGTTTTGATTGATGAATTGATTTACTTTTTGTGTGTGTGTTTTTTCGTCTTGTATTCGTGTGTTTTTCGCGTCTTTTTGTTTATTT